TATATACTTAGTGACTGTACTGCAAAGACCTCCCTTGAAACATTGAGCTAAAAGTCATTGATCACCTCTGATGATACCCAAATGTCTCCATGAGCTGAGTAAAATTCAGAAAAGAGAATCACCCACCCACTGGAAACCTTTATTTTCTAACCAACCACAGCAAATCTGTTCTTGGCTTCTCTTGCAGCTGAGCGAGCTCTCGATACCATGAATTTTGATGTGATCAAAGGGAAACCCATTCGCATCATGTGGTCTCAGAGGGACCCTTCCCTGAGGAAGTCGGGGGTTGGCAATGTCTTCATCAAGAACCTGGACAAATCCATTGATAACAAGGCACTTTACGACACATTCTCAGCGTTTGGAAACATTTTGTCCTGCAAGGTGAGGTGTGGTTACATTGTCCAGTTCTTTTAGGGTGGGGACGTGATCAGAGGTTTGAGTGTAGGTGGTGAAAGGGACACTTCTTGTCGAGTGTAAGGAGCAGAATCACAGAATGTTCCGAGTTGGGACACACAAGGCTCATCCAGTCCACCTCTTTAAATGAACGGTGCCTGCAGGGATCAAACCTGTGACCTTGGTGTTAAAACAGAATCTCTGAAAGGCAGAGTTGACCAAAAGCTGAAATGACATCAGATTTGGTCATGAAGTGCAGCAATGTGACACAGAGATGGGGCTGACCCTTGGCAGTGACACGTTTCCACCCGCTGGCCCGCGGCAGAGGAGGGACGCTGACAGCTGCCTTGCTCCCTGTCCTGCAGGTGGTGTGTGATGAGAATGGCTCTAAGGGCTACGCCTTTGTGCACTTTGAGACCCAGGATGCTGCAGATAGGGCCATCGAGAAGATGAACGGCATGCTGCTCAACGACCGCAAAGTGTGAGTGTCGCAGGCGGCAGCAGCAGCGCTCACATGCTCCGGGATGCATCTCGGTATTAACAGGGACACACAAGGCACTGGTTCTCCTGGCCCGAGCCTTGGCCTGCTACCTCTCCACTCCAGGGCTGGTGAGTGACCCTGCCCAAGCCATGGCCTGCTCCCCCTCCATTCCAGGACTGGTGGGTTTCCCTGACCGAGCCTTGATTTGCCGCCTCTCTGGTGGTGCTGTGTTCGACGGTTCCAGGATGAGGGAACCTTCATCATCTCGACTCCATGTTTTATTATATCCTGATATATATTATATTAAAAATGCTGTACCAAAAATAATAGAGAGAAAGGATTCATCAGAAGGCTAAAAAGGAAAGGAATGGAATCAATAACAAAATCTTGTGACTGCTCAGGGAGTCCACACAACTGGACCATGATTGTTTCTACTTAATGACCAATCACATGGACCAATCAAAGATGCACCTGTTGCATTCCACAGCAGCAGATAACTTATTATTTTTCTTTTCCTCTGAGGCTTCTCAGCTTCTCAGGAGAAAAATCCTGGGTGAAGGGATTTTTCATGAAAATATCATGGTGACAGGCTGGGGTGGGTTCTGTCTGGGGCCAATGGGACTCCTTGGCCAGCCACAGCACAGGTGATTTTTCTGGTTGGTCTGTGGCCTGTTTGTTGTCCTCTGCTGTCACCCTTTCTTGTCCCCATTCCCAGCTCCTACTGCACACTCATTTTTTTTGCCTCGCTGCAAGTCACACGTTATTTTTTTGCTTTGAAACCGATCTGTTTATTGGGATTTTCATTTTTTTTGTCTTACAGGTTTGTCGGGAGATTCAAGTCTCGTAAAGAGAGGGAGGCTGAGCTGGGAGCCAAGGCAAAGGAATTCACCAATGTCTATATTAAAAACTTCGGGGATGACATGGATGATGAAAGACTAAAAGAGCTCTTTGGCAAATATGGTAAATACAGAAATAGTTTTATTGAGGCTGTGAATTTCATGAAATGTGGTAGTCTGAGTGCTGTTGTATAGTCCCTACCTAGGTCACTTTAAGGCTGAGGACATGAGCTATTACATGGAATTTAATAATCTTGAAATACTTTTGATATTTTACTAACCCTGTCCCTTGGTAACAGGTAAAACTCTGAGTGTTAAAGTGATGACAGACCCTACTGGAAAATCCAAAGGCTTTGGCTTTGTAAGCTTTGAAAAGCATGAAGAGGCCAACAAGGTATGACCAACTTTTAAGTTGCTTAGATAACTTGAGAGAAGAAAAAACTTGGTTTATCTTGGGAGCCTGTTTCTGAAATGGAAGAAAATTCTGCCTTGGGCATGACCTCCTCTAGATGTGGGAACTTGGAAACCTTTTGCACCTTAATAGCTTGACATTCAAGGGTAACTTGGCATCTCTCCAGTTTCCTAGATGCACACAGTGGTATAATCAAGAATGTTAATTGCTGAAGAAATACTACAGTGCAGGGCTGAAGGAGGAGGAGGGCACCTAGAGTGAGAACATTGCTCAAAAATGGTCTTTTCTAAGCAGAATGCTTGTTAAAATGTAGTTTTAATTGCAATAAAGAGTGGGGATTAATTTCTGATTTAGTTCAGCACTTGGTGGTGTGTCAGCTTGATCTGTGTGATAACTTCAGCTTGTCTTTAATGAGCCTGTTGTTAACAGGAAGAGTGCAAAGGTAACATGCAAACTGATTTATTGAGTGGCAGGCAGTGTCAGCTCTGGGCAGTCCTCTCTGACAGGATCAGGGCTGTCCTGCTGCAGCAGCTGAGAGTTTCCTCTTGAACCCTCTGTGCAGGCAGTGGAAGAAATGAACGGGAAGGACATCAATGGCAAAATGCTCTTTGTGGGCAGGGCACAGAAGAAGGCTGAGCGCCAGGCAGAGCTGAAAAGAAGGTTTGAACAGCTAAAACAAGAGAGACTCAGCAGGTACCAGGTGAATAATCTGTTTCTTTGCTCAATTTAAGCACTCCTTCTGGTCAGTTGAAGGAATTGCCAGAGCAGTTATTATCCTGGTTTAAAACACAGAGGTGTCTCCATGATATTTGGTGGCAGAGGGGGCATCAGGGCTTAGTCTTGGTACTGAAAGTGTTTAGGAGGATGTGAGACAACAGGCATGAAGTCTCCTTGACTTTCAGATGGGGATCCCTGGAGGGATGGGAAGAGACAGCACAGCTCTGCACTGCTCTCTGTAATTTGTGGCAGAACTGGGTCGTGTCAGAGGTGGCATCTGAAACTCCCCCACTCCCTGAGGTGCAGTGCTGGACTGGGGACATGTGGTGATGCCACAGGAAGGCAGAGGAAATCCAGACAAGCTCCCTTTCAGCACAGTGGGACTTGTCTCTACGCCTTTGCAACATTTATCACCTTCAGCTTTGGGTGGTGTGGAGGGAACAGGATGCTAAATTAAGAGTTTTCAGATAAATTACAGCTCTGGCAGATGGGTAACAGTTGATGTGCTTAAGAATTTATTTTTTTTAATGTTGTGAATGTCATACTGTTCTTTCCCTTTCCAGGGTGTTAACCTGTACATTAAAAACCTAGATGACACTATAGATGATGAAAAACTCAGGAAAGAGTTCTCACCTTTTGGGTCTATAACAAGTGCCAAGGTACTGTGGGATTTGGGGGTTGCCTGGATTTTAAAGCCTGAAGGAGGAGTTGTTGTCTGACATGGGATTAAAGGGCTGTGGCTGTTGTGATTCTGAAAACACCTTGGCTAGTAAATGGTGGGATTGTACTGAAAACTTCATTCCCTTACCCAAAGGGGAGGAAGGAAGTGGCAAACATGCTTGCTTGAGGTGGCAAGCATGAAATGACACTTTCCTCTGTGCATTTAGGACTGCACCAAATCTTTCCCATTCCTTCCTGTGCAGTGTGGGCCTGGGGACACATGGTGCTGACAGCAACGCAGAGCAAATCCAGACAGGTGGCTCTTCATGAGAACCTGTCTCTACACCTCTGCAACAAGTGACGTGCTACCTAAAACCTAAAAAACCAGATTCTTCAGCTCAGTTGTACTGGTGCTCCATTAGCAATTGATCTTTGCTGCAGGTGATGCTGGAAGATGGACGGAGCAAAGGGTTTGGCTTTGTCTGCTTTTCCTCTCCAGAGGAGGCCACCAAAGCTGTGACGGAGATGAACGGGCGCATCGTGGGCTCCAAGCCCCTCTATGTGGCACTGGCCCAGAGGAAGGAGGAGAGGAAGGCCCATCTCACCAACCAGTACATGCAGCGCATCGCTGGCATGAGGGCCTTGCCTGCCAACACCATCATCAACCAGTTCCAGCCCGCTGCTGGCGGGTATTTCATGCCTGCTGTGCCTCAGGTGAGCTCCCGTGGGGTTTTTAACCTGTGTTCATCTCACTGAGCCTTTCTCGTGCCTGTAAGCAACAACTCCTAATGAGGGGTGCAGCAGTGGAGTTAATTCTGTGACTTGCCAGCTGCCTGTTCTCTTAATCCCACCTGAGTGTTGGGTCCTGGCAACGGCTGCCAAAACACGTTGTAAACAATGTTTGTGATGCACTTGGATGTTGCCTCTGAGCTTATCTGATCTTCCTCCAGGCTCAGAGCAGACCCACTTACTATGCACCCAACCAAATGACACAGATGAGACCCAACCCACGATGGCAGCAAGGAGGGAGACCTCAAGGTGAGAGTGCCAGAGGCAGTTTTGCTTGTAGAACCCTTTGGGAGCTGCACTTCCCAACAGGAACAATTCCTGCTTTCCTTTCTGGGAATGGTCCCGTGCGGGGCCAGGAGCTGGACTCTGATCCTTGCGTGTCCCTTCCAGCTCAGCATTTTCCATGATGCTCTGATTGTGCCCCTGTAGCTGACTGTCCTGCCTTGCCAGCTGGCTCCCTGCTGAGGCTTTCTCCTCCTTGCCCCCCTCAGGCTTCCAGGGAATGCCGAGCGCCATGCGGCAGTCGGGGCCCCGGCCCGCCCTGCGCCACCTGGCCCCCGCCAGCGCCCCGGCCTCCCGGGGCCTCCCCGCTGCTGCCCAGAGAGTTGGTAAGCTGGGGGCTCCTCCTGGCCTTTCCCCCCCTCTGGGAAGGGAGGAGGATGCTGTGGAAACTTCTCCCAAAGATCTGGGATGTCTGTGAAGGGCAGAGCCAGCACGTGCTGCTGTCCTGCTCCTCGCTCTGCGGGTCGGGGGGCACTCGGTGCTACAGCATGGCAGTGGAAATCCAGATGGGTTCTCTGCTGGTTTGGGACTTGTCTCTACACCCCTGCGACACCACCCAAAAATCTCTGTAGCTAATGGGTTTTGCTTTCAGAGCAAATTGGTTTTTTTTTCCCAGTGATCAGCTGTAAAACAAAAAGTGGAATTTAGGGATTGGTTCTAGGGAGAGCAGCCCCTTCCTGAGTAGCCAGCTTCACTGTCTAAAGCAGTAATACCATGCAGAGCAAAGTCTGAATTAAAACCAGACATCCCAACTTGTTAGCATGTTGCTGCAGGTGTTTATCACAGTGTTCTCCTTCCTTTGCAGGTGTTGGCACAGCAGCACAGAATTTGGCTCCCCGTCCTCCTGTAGCTGCCCCTGCTCCCAGGGCTGTCCCTCCTTACAAATATGCCTCAAGTGTCCGCAGCCCACACCCAGGTGTCCAGCCTCTGCAGGTACCAGTGGGGCTGGGCTGGGAAGTCCCTGCAGTTTCACATACAACTAAAGTATTTTTATAGAAACTTCAAGCTCCTTTTATGACCCAGACAATCCTAACTTGGAATTTAAAAACCTGGCAGGGCCACCCTGGTTGGTTTATCTGTCTTGTACTCACAAGCCCTTTTGTAGCCAGACTGGCTCTAAGGATATTTTTCTTGGTTCTTTGTTCCCATTTTGAAACCATTTAAGTCACTCTCCTCTTTGTCAAGTTCTCACTGGGGTGTCATTGAAAGAAGGAGCACCATCTACACCTGGCTTTCTCAACATCTCATGATGTTTGATCCAGGTTTTGTAGGATACTTATGGTGTTCCTGTGTGACATTCCAGGGTTTTGAGCTCAAGACTTGCAGGGAGTGTTTGTGAACCAAGGACACCTTACCTGCCCTTCTCTGAAGCTGAGGTGTTCTGTAGGCTTGACAAAGATTGTGTTTTAGGAGGGAACATCTTAGAAATGTCTAAATGTGAAAAATCAGCCTCATCCTTATTTCAGAACCCCTGTCTGCCCTTTTCAGGCACCTCAGCCTGCAGTGCATGTGCAGGGCCAGGAGCCCCTGACAGCCTCCATGCTGGCTGCTGCCCCTCCCCAGGAGCAGAAACAGATGCTGGGTGAGTAAAACCCCACTGCTCACCCATCATTTTTCATCCCCTCAGCTTTCAAAGACCCAAACTCATCCACCTGAACTCCTTTTTCTCCCTCAGGAGAACGTTTGTTCCCTCTGATCCAAGCTATGCACCCCAGCCTGGCTGGGAAGATCACAGGAATGCTGCTAGAGATTGACAACTCAGAGCTGCTGCACATGCTGGAATCCCCAGAGTCCCTCCGCTCCAAGGTGAGCTGCTGTGTCCTTTTTTCCTCTGGAGAGGGCTTCTGAGCAGGGAGAAAATCTCACTGATTTGTGTCCCCAGGTGGAGGAGGCCGTGGCAGTGCTGCAGGCTCACCAAGCCAAGAAAGAAGCTGCCCAGAAAGTGGGAGTGGTTGCTGCTACCTCTTGAACCAGGATGACTGGTGAGTGTCTCAGTCCTCAGCTTCAGTGAAAAGCTTCCAGAATCAGTAAATAAAGCAGTTGTTGGTGAACAATTCGTGTGGGTCTGTCACCAGCACTTAGCTGATTGCAGTCCACTCTTCAACAAAAAGCTCCAATGTAGTTTCTCCCAGCAGAATGCTTGTGTAGAAGTTAAGAAATATTCATTCTGATGCTTATCTAAGGGATCTAAAGATGTTGAAGTCCCTGAGCTGTTCCTTGGAGCTGACATGCTGGGGATGAGTCTTGTGGAACTGCTAATCTGGGAAATAGCCACCAGGAGCTCTGGTGATTGAGGCTGAACAGGCTCTTAGTGCCCATTCCTTACCCTGGAAACCTCCTGCCTTCAGGGTATAATAAATGTTGGAAATGTTTCACTGGATAGGTCTGTCCACACAAGTGTTTGGGTTTAATTTGTGAATAAGGATTTGGATTCTTGGAGTGCCTCTTCCTGTTGCTCGTGATGCATTTTTCTGTCTGGAATTGCCATCTCCAGGACTTTCTGTGCTGCTGTTTGTGATCAGATGTCACAACTCAAGCTGGTGATGAATTCTTACTTTCACTGGGTGGTCTAGCAAAGAATTTGAGTTTCTTGTGGATAATCACAATTTCTGATTATCTCACCACCACGAGCAGCTTCTCTGTACCTTCCCAATTAGATTGGAATCCTTATTCCTTGGAATGCTGCAGTATTCCCTGTCCTGGAGCAGGGATGCTGTGAATGACTTCTCTCCCTTTTTCTCCTCTAGGATACAAAGAAGCCAAATAGCCCCTTCCTAGACATCAGCTCAAGATGTTTGAAGATCCTTCACTGTCCTGCAGATCTGAAGGCCATGCATTGTGTCACATAGTTATATTGCATTTTGTAAATTAATCTTAAAGATCTTATTTAAAAAGCCAACTCTGAAGCTCGAGGTTTCCAAAACCAGAATCTGGGGGGTTTGCAAGCTTTTCCTTTGCCAGAACAGAGCTGCCCCCTGTGTCTTCTGAAGAGGACGTTGAGGATTTTAGGCTGGAAGTATTTTTGTGAGTTTGTGTTTAATTGAACAATCCAGTTTGGAAAGTTTGGGAAACATTTATCAATAAAGGAATAAACTTGCCCTGTGTTTGTCATCATTTCTCTTTGTTGGATAAATAAATGTGGTGTGGCTTTGTGAAATTAAACTGATGGCAGTTATTGGGGGGGTGAATACATTAAACGGGGCTTTGGCTTATTCTGCGTGCTAATTTTGGATAATGAGTACTTAAAGTCATGCCTGGGGCAGTGTCTGAAGGGATGAGGGCTGTAAACAGTGATCTGAGAAGGGCTGGGGAGGCCTTTTCAAGTGAAGGGTTTGGGCTGGTCTTTGTTTATATTTCTGCATTTTCAGTTTTTGGTGGTCCTGCTGCTATTTTATACCCCAAAGGTGGCCGAATTGTGGCACTGAGGTCAAAAATCCTTTGCCAACTTCCTTTGGCTGATCCTTTGGGCTAAAAACCATTACTCAGCTAAGCACAGAGCACACACCAAGCCGGGCACAGTCCTCCCCACTCAAAGCTCAAACCTGGAGCTGAACGCGCCCGTCCCGCCGGGGCTCGGAGCTTTGGAGAAGCCTGGGATGGGCTGGGAGGGATTCAGAAAGTCTGGAAGGGGCTGGGAGGGTTGCACAAAGCCTGACACAGGCTGGAAGGGACTCAGAAAGGCTGGAAGGGATGCAGAAAGCACGGACGGGCTGGAAGGGATGCAGAAAGCCTGGAAGGGGCTGGGAGGGATGCAGAAAGTCTGGAAGGGGCTGGGAGGGATGCACAAAGCCTGGAAGGGGATGCAGAAAGTCTGGGACGGGCTGGAAGGGATGCAGAAAGCCTGACACAGGCTGGAAGGGACTCAGAAAGGCTGGGAAGGGATGCACAAAGCCTGGGATGGGCTGGAAGGGATGCAGAATTCCTGGGACGGGCTGGAAGGGATGCACAGAGCCTGGGACGGGCTGGAAGGGATGCACAGAGCCTGGGACGGGCTGGAAGGGATGCACAGAGCCTGGGACGGGCTGGAAGGGATGCACAGAGCCTGGGACGGGCTGGAAGGGATGCACAGAGCCTGGGACGGGCTGGAAGGGATGCACAGAGCCTGGGACGGGCTGGAAGGGATGCACAGAGCCTGGGACGGGCTGGAAGGGATGCACAGAGCCTGGGACGGGCTGGAAGGGATGCACAGAGCCTGGGACGGGCTGGAAGGGATGCACAGAGCCTGGGACGGGCTGGAAGGGATGCACAGAGCACGGACGGGCTGGAAGGGATGCACAAAGCCTGGGATGGGCTGGAAGGGATGCACAAAGCCTGGAAGGGATGCACAGAGCCTGGGACGGGCTGGAAGGGATGCACAAAGCCTGGAAGGGACGCAGAAAGCCTGGGATGGGCTGGAAGGGATGCACAAGGGCTGGAAGGGATGCACAGAGCACGGACGCGTTCTCAGCCCCACGCACCGAGCCGGGAGGGCGGAGCGCTGCCGCCGTTCCGGGGCGGGCCGTGCCGTGCCGAGCCGTTCCGGGGCAGCGGGGCACGATGGCGGCCACCAAGCGGGTGCTGTACGTGGGTGAGTGGCCGGGCTGGGGCAGCCCCCCGGGGCCGGGGCCGCCGGCGGTGCCCGGTGACCGCTGGCCGCCCCGCAGGCGGGCTGGCCGAGGAGGTGGACGAGAAGGTGCTGCACGCTGCCTTCATCCCCTTCGGAGACATCACCGACATCCAGATCCCGCTGGACTACGAGACCGGTGTGTGCCCGGGGGGCTGCGGCATCCCCGGGCTGCGGGACCCCCCTTCCCCCTGGGGCCGGGGTGTCCGTGCTGCCCTGACCCCTCCGTCCGTCTGTCCGTCCTTCCTCCCCTCCAGAAAAGCACCGCGGATTCGCCTTCGTGGAGTTTGAGCTGGCAGAGGTGAGGAACCAGCAAGTGCTTGAGCCTTTGGGGTTTTGGGTCCCCTCGGGGTTTTTGCTCCCCTTGGGGTTTTTGCTCCCCTCGGGGTTTTTGTTCCCCTCGGGGTTTTTGCTCCCCTCGGGGTTTTGGGTCCCCTCGGGGTTTTGGGATGGATCCTCTTCCTGCTGCAGAAATCTGTGAGATGGTTACCCACCACAACATTCAGATGTTGTTCTGCTCTTTCAAGTTCCCACTTTTCCCATTTTCTCTCAGGCTGAAGTGCCCATTTTTCCCGTTTCCAGCCCAAATTGCTCCCCCACCACCATCCCTGGCTGGGTTTCTTGGTTTCACGGGCTGTTAATATTTGTCCTCCAATCATCTGTCCTGGGCTTTGTACAGAAATCTCTCCTCTCCCAAATGCTCATGGCAGCAATAAAACATTTCAATACAAGGAGTTAGTGAGTTTTTGGAAGATGAGACCCACATGGGGTTTGGAAACCCCACATGGATAGGGCTGGAATATAAATATATATATAAATATATATATTTATCCCATAAATGGGATAAATGGGGTTTAGGAAAACCTGGCAGTTGTCTTTATAATGAGATGCTGGAACATGGCTATGCTGGACCTTGAGAATAAATGTTAATAATGACTTTATTTTGATTTTTTTTTTTTTTGGCAGGATGCAGCAGCAGCTATTGACAACATGGTATGGACCCTGCTCCCACTCCTGCTCCCTGCTCCTTGGGGATGTGTGGCTCTGCTGCCCTGGTGGTGTGGGCTGCAGAGAGAGCAGGAGCTCTTTCCTCTGAGCTCTGCAGGGCTTTGGGGGGCACGGTGGTTTTATACCTTTTTGGTGGGCTCTGCTGTGCTTTTTTCCCCTCTGCAGAACGAGTCTGAGCTCTTTGGCAGGACAATCCGAGTGAACCTGGCCAAGCCCATGAGGATTAAAGAAGGATCATCCAGGCCTGGTGAGCTGGGGAGCAGAACACCCCTGGGCGTGCTCGGAGCTCCGGGGCCCTTTGGGTCAATTCCTGTGCTCTGACCTTTCCTTTTGTGGCCACAGTCTGGTCAGATGATGAGTGGCTGAAGAAGTTTTCAGGGAAGACTTTGGAGGAGAACAAGGAGGAGGGAGGAGCAGAGGCCCCCAAAGCAGAGGCACAGGAGGTGGGAAAAACAAAAACAACCAGAGCCATCTGCATCCCCGTTATCCCACAGCATGAGAATGCAAAGCACAGAAATGTCACCTCAAAAAAAAAACAAAAAACACTTTTTTTTTTTTCTGTTTCTTCTTTTCCTGCCCAGGACGAGCCTCCTGCCAAGAAATCCCGGGTGAACCCCCAGGTTTACATGGACATCAAGATTGGGAACAAGCCCGCGGGGCGGCTGCGGATCCTGCTGCGCTCCGACGTGGTGCCCATGACTGCAGGTGGGCAGGGGGCTCGCCTCCCTCCTGGGCACCGGGGGGGCTCAGCCCTCACCTGCCTCCCCTTTGTGCCCCCGCACGCAGAGAATTTCCGCTGCCTCTGCACCCACGAGAAGGGCTTTGGCTTCAAGGGCAGCAGCTTCCACCGCGTCATCCCCCAGTTCATGTGCCAGGCCGGAGACTTCACCAACCACAACGGCACCGGCGGCAAATCCATCTACGGCAAGAAGTTTGATGATGAAAACTTCATCCTCAAGCACACGGGGCCAGGTAAAGCCATCTCCTTTTAGAGATGGACTGGAGAGAAAACGAGCCACAACAGCTCAGCATCGTCTAGGGCTGGTTTAGCCATGTTGATAGCAGCAGCCTGAATTATAATTATAATTAATTATTATAATCTACTTGGGCCAGATTTTTCTGCCACATTCAGACCCTTGTGTCTCACCAAATGCATCGTTCCCTCTCCATCCACTTTATTTGCAGTATTGCATGAAGGAAAAACAATTTCAAAGCTGCTTTTTCTGCTTGGTTTCAAACGAGGCACGTCACAGTGTGACTGTGAAAGGCAGGAGCAAGCAAGGAGGTTTATCTCCATACAGACAGCTTTGCTGTTACTGCAGCTAAAAATAGCTGAGCATCTTTCACACTTGCAAGTGTTTCTGAGCACAATTGATTTCCAGTAGTTTCTGAGGATTTTGATCTCCAGCAGCGTTCTGTGGGACATGGGAGTGCTGGGCTGAAGGAGCAGCTCCTGAGCTCGGCCATAACTCTGCCCTCTCTGACCCCAGGGATGGTGTCCATGGCAAACTCGGGCCCAAACACCAACGGCTCCCAGTTCTTCATCACCTGTGACAAAACAGACTGGCTGGACGGGAAGCACGTGGTGTTCGGGGAGGTGACGGAGGGCATGGACGTGGTCAGGGAGATCGAGGTAGGGCAGGGCAGGGGGGCTGGGGGCAGAGCCCCCTTCCTTCCCGCCCTGAGGATTCACTCCTGGAATTCCTGCTGCTCTTCTCTGCCAGGCTCAGGGCACCAAGGATGGGAAGCCCAAGCAGAAGGTGATCATCTCGGACTGCGGGGAGTGCGCCTGAGCTCCGTGCTTGGAGGGGCTGGTGGGGGAGCCCGGCCTGGGGGGACAGCACCAGCAGGGATGGGGCACCCCAGGGACTCCCCTGCACTGCCCATCCTGCAGCTGCCACAGGAATTCCCCACCGAGGTTCCTGGGAGCAGGATTTATCCTTCCTGGGGAAATCGCTTCCCAGCCTGCGCTGCCCGAGCTGGGCTGGGCTGGTCCTGCTGCCGTGTTCTGGAGAAAATTTATGTTTGGTAAAAATAAAACCTAGTTTTGGAAATACTGAGGGCCTGGCTGCTGAATTCCCTCTGTGGGAGGCTGGTCTTTGAGCAAAGATGGGTTTTTTTTGTTGTATTTGCCCTCATCTTCATTAATCCTGTGCCTAAATCCTGGCTCCAGGGCAGGGTACCTGTGCCAGGCAGAGGAGAGCAGAGCTGAACCTCTCGTGTTTGTTGCACAGCAGCATCTCCTGGAGCTGCTTTTGGCTTTGTAGTGTCCTTTTCCAGCAGCAGAGGGAGGCACGTTCCTGGCTGGTGTCTCTCCTGTCCCAGCTCCATCTCCATCCCACAGGGAGGGAGTGGAAAACACAGGACAGGGAACACCTGGAAAGGAGGAACTCCTTGGATGATGAAGAAGAGAAAAACCCAGAGTGATGAGTCTGTAGGAAGGGATTTCCAGCCTCCAGGCTGCAGAGTGGGATAAAGCACATGGATTTGTAGTTCCTGTGGTGGGCAGCCCTGGCTCTGCCCTCGGAGGTGACCAGGAAGGGATGGATTTGGGGTTTGCAGTGAAATGATGGGAGGGATGTTTGGCTCTGAGCTTGTGCAGGTATTGGCAGGAGGGATGAGGCTGCTGAGCTGGAGAGGAAGAGCTGGTGTTGGGATTTTGGGGATGTTTGGAAGTGCTTGTGCCATTGGGGATTTGGGGTTTGCCCAGCCCAGCCCCTCACAAGTCACGGTGGTGTTTTTCCATAAGGATTGCTTTTTTTCACTGCCTGCTTTCCCAGGGTGGTTGTGAGTTTGCATTTTCTTAAAAGTGAGACAAGGTGAGATGCGAGGGTGTGATTCCTGAGAGACAAACCAGCCCAGCTTTCCCTTCCCTCGCTCCCTTTTTGTTTAAATCCCACATTTTAGAGTCAGCCCTTGCAGGCACCTGCAGAGTCCAGAGTCAGAGCAAGGCCTGGCTCTTCTCTCTGCAGGAGCACCAAATCCCTGAGCTGGATTTCGTGTGGAATTAAACACCCAGACAAGCAAAACCTTTCCTTGGGAAGCTGGGCACTGACAGTGAGCATATATTCCTTATTTTGGTGGGGTTTTATTGGGATTTTTCCCTGACTGTGCCAGGTTCTTTCCTTGTTTATTGATGTAAGGTTCCCCAGGTATCCAAGCTGAGAACGAGGACAGGCCTTTTCCTTTTCAAATCAGAGCAAATAAATAATTGAATTGTGCAAATAATCTGGGGAAGCTGCCTGGGACTGGTCACAGCCCTGCTGAGAGCCCACGGGATGGGCACAGCCTGACCTAAAACTCACATCAGGGCTCATTTTCAAGCAAATAGGTACAATTTTAGCCAATTCTGAGTCTTTTTTTCATTGCAAAAGGCCCTGTGAACAGAGCCCTGTTGTGCTGTGACATTAAAAAACAAAGAGCAAGAGAAACTCCGTGTTTACTTTCCAAACTTTGCGTTTATTTTATAACAGTGCTGTAGCTCAATATGGAGATTTTATTTTTTTTCCAGCTGGCTGAGTTTGGTGAACTTTGGGTAAACAGGAGGGGGTTAGTCAGCCAGCTACTTAATTGGCTGATGATATTTTCATTAAGGGAATTAAAAGCACTTGGGTAGAGGTGGGTTAGTGGAGAAATACACAGCTAGAAACAGCTCAGTCCCAGAGCAACCTGGATGCTGCCTCCCCCCAAAACTGCCTCCAGCTCAGGGAAAAAAATCAGAATCAGCCAAAAATCCTCTTTCCTATATATATATATATATGTTTGTATGTATCTGTGTCTCATCAAGCAGGATAAGAAAAAGGAAGTTTTATATTATTTACATCCACTTCTGGAAAGGGGTGGGAGGGGTTTATTTTTGGTTTTTATTATTATTATTATTATTATTAATGGATTTGGCTCTGGTGCAGCCCCCAAAGCTCCTCTTCCATGCATGCAGCAGAAACCCAGGGTGACATTGCTCTGGTAGGGATGGGAGGGGACACTCAGGGTGGGCATGGGACATCCAGGGACAGGAATGGCACATCCAGGGATGGGAATGGGACACACTGGAGTGGGGATGGGACATCCAGGGATGGGAATGGGATGCTCAGGAGTGGGGATGGGACATCCAGGGATGGGAATGGGACATCCAGGGATGGGAATGGGACATCCAGGGACAGGAATGGGACATCCAGGGATAGGAATGGGACATCCAGGGATGGGAATGGGACACACTGGAGTGGGGATGGGACACTCAGGGACAGGAATGGGACATCCAGGGGTGGGAGTGGAACACTCAGGGACGGGATTTGGACTCTCAGGGACGGGGATGGAACATCCAGAGACAGGAATGGGACATCCAGGGACAGGATTTGGACCCTCAGGGGTGGGGTGGGACCTGTCCCTCAGTGGCAGCCGCAGGATTTCACCACCATGTTCCGGTGCTTTTTGAGGATGACGTTGTTGTTGCTGTCGTAGTAGAGGACAGAGGTGGCACTGAGCTTGGTGGGGGCACAGCACGCCTTGGGCACGGCCTCAGGCTTCATCAGGTGGACCTGGGGGATGGATGGAGCCCGTCAGTGCCAGCAAACGTGGCTCCAGGCAACAAACCAACCAAAAAACCCTGGCTGAATGGGGGGATTATTTCCATCTTTTTGCAAAAATATTTATTCTAAACTCCAGGCAGTCCCTGCTGTGGTTTATATTGGATCAGGGCTCATGGCACTGCGTGGGCCAGGCAGCCCCTTCATTAATTTGGGATTTCAGGGCCTTTTTCTCACAAAAACAGACAAATGACTAAAAAAAACCCCATAAATCAGCACAGCACGGGTCAGGCTCCGGTGTGGGCGGGGGGCGCCGGCTGTTGTTCCAACAGAGATTCTCCACCTCAAACTTCAATCCTAAAGCCCACAGCACCTCTGTGACCAGGAGCCCGCTCTTGGACGGCTTTTCCCTGCTGGTTATCCCGCTGTTTTCCTGCGGGGCAGGGGCTGGAGGGGGCTGGCAGGACACGGGAGCCCTGGTGGCTGCCCCGACATGTGCGGTTCATTTCCAGCAGGGCAGCCGAGCTCTCCCAGCTCGGAAGTCCGGTGTTTTTGCTGCCCAACCCTGCTATTTGCAGCTCAGCCTGGGGCTGGCATGGCTCCACAGCCCTGGCTCTTCCCAGAAGGGCCGGATCCAGGTGATTCACATCCTGCCCCAGCGGCTCCGTTTTGGGAACGGCGCTGGCTTTGGGGGTGATGGGTGGGCGTAGAGGGGGAGAAAGAGCCCCTCCCTGCCCCTGCCAGGATGGTTCCCAGCCCCTGGATGGGCCCTGGAAGTTTTAATGTCAAAATTAAGCCCAGCCAGGCGACACCTTCAAAGGCTGGGCCGAGGGCTCGGCGCTCCCTGTAATTAACCGCGAGCACCGGAGCCGGGGTGGCTCTGCCATGGGGAAACCAAACACTCACAGGGCAGGAAATTCCAGAAATTAAAGCGCTGGCTGGGATGTGGGGTGGGTTTGGGAAGAAAAACAAACCCAAGGCATTAAAGCTTTCTTGCTCGGAATATGCTGAGCCCAACGTTTGGGTGCCGGGGCTGTGGATGAACCCTGGGAAGAGGCTGGAGAGGAGGATGCAGGGGTGGCACAGAGCCTTTTTGGGGACTCTGGTGTGCCCTGGGCTTGTCCCTCCTCCCCAGCTCTCTGCCAGGGGAGAGGGATCAGGAATCTGCCAGAAATGCTCAGCTTTGCCCCAGCTGCTGTGGAACTGGAGCAGGATGGTGTCAGTCAGGAAATCAAGAGGTGAGGGAGCTCTGGGATGAGGAAATCCCGCTGTTGCACCCCTCTGGTGGAGGATGAGGGCCAGAGCTCGTGCCCTCACTCTGGGTGTCTCCATGAATGCCTTGAAATTCCATATTGCAACCTCCCCTGAGCCTGTGCCGGGGGCCAGCCTGTGAGCAGCCATGCAGATGTGTGAGTGCCCATCCAGATGTGCATTCACACACCCAGATGTGCGAGCACCCACCCAGATGTGCATTCACCCACCCAGAAGTGTGAGCACCCACCCAGATGTGCATTCACCCACCCAGATGTGCATGCACCCACCCAGATGTGCATTCCCCCACTAATTCTTTATTTCAACCCAGAGCCCAGCTGCACCCTCCCCGCTGAGCCCCCTCAAGCCCAGCCGTGCCCATCCCAAAATCCCAGCTCCTCCTCGGGCGCTCCCCAGGGCTGCACTGACCAGGGACTGCAGGATGGCGTGGTTGGTGGCGTTCATGCACGAGTCCAGAGGGAATGCACACTCCCCCTCGCAGTAGTAGGCTGAGTACCCCTGTGGAGCAATCACCCAGTCCTGGAAAAAAAGTAAAAATTGGATTACATTGAGGAGTTCACCCTTTTGTGCCCCCTCATCCATTCCCCACCTGCACAAACAGCTCAGCAAGGGTTTATTTTGGTTTTTTGGATCAGCCAGGAGTGGTTCGGGGTCACTGGTGAGGTTTGGGGTTGTGGCAGTTCGTGTTTGCCTTCCCAGCTCCTGGGATGGCTTCATGGGCAGGAGCCCAGGGTGGGGGGATGGAATGATGGAGGGGTGGTTTTTTTGGTCATTTACTTCTCCCAGCACACAAGTACCAGCCAGCCAAGGTCCTGGAAGCTGACGTAGAGCTCGTGGCGCCGGCAGACCTGCCGCCCGTCCGTGGCGTGGACATCGTCTGTGGGAAAAGGGGACACGGAGCTCAGCCCTGGAACTGCCCCTCGGAGGTGGGAGACAGCCCCTGGGATTGGGATTGGCCCAGGAGAACCAAAGGAGAGGAGCCTTTGTTGCTGCACGAAGGGAAAAGCAGCTCTAGACTGGCCTGGAATTGGAACTGGAATTGATATTCCAAAATTGGGATGAAGGAATTCGGCCTTGGAAGAGCTAAACCCCAGCTGTGCTCGCTTTGAGGGTTTCCCAAACCCAGGCCTTCCTGGTTCCCCTCCTGCCTGAGCTTTCTGGAGCTGTGACACCTTCCCAGGGCTCCCAAGCCAAGGGCAATGAGGCAAAAATTCCAATATTCAGTAATCCTGACATGCTCACAAAACACCATTTCCTTGAGGGCATCCAACCCAAACCCTCTGTGCACCTCCCAAACTGCAAAAACCTCCAACCCTAAAACCTCAGAACTTTTTGCTCCGTTTCCCTCGGGCCAAGAAAATGGGGATTTCAAGGTGCTGACAAGCAGAGCCTCGTGTTCTCCGCAGGGAGATCCCTCCTCCTGCAGAAAACACCTTACCAAAAATCCCTGGGAGCTTGTTCGGGTGGGGGAGCTCGTTGGATTTCTTGGGCTGTCGCCTCCTCGGGGGTTTGGCTGCTCGTGTGACACGGGAGGGGCTGGGGCTGGCCCGGAAAAATGTCACCATGAAAGGCTGCTTGGAGCGGGGTCCCCGGCGCCCCAGGAGCCCAGCTGAGCCTGGATCCACGCTGTGCCCTGCAGGGACAGGACCATTTGGGGGTTTGTCCTCAATTAGAACTCGTTTGGTTAAAGGAGAGATTAAAAATACAGGAAATTTGCAGCAGGAGATGTGGTTTGGGGGTTGGAGCCTCCTGTTCCAGCAGGGAATGGTCACACGGGGCTGTTAAAGGGTTAAAACTGATTTTCTCCTTCACCCCAAGGAATGGATGGGGCTGGGATTCCTCCTCCCGTGGAAGAGGAGCTGCTCTTTGTGTGCCTTCCCACCTGACAAGCACTGCAGGAGCAGATTTAATCCCGTGGGGAAAAGAGGGTTAATCCTCTGCCACACACACACAGGATCCCTGCAGGTAAGGAGTTCATTAGGTATTAATGAGGTTAATTACAATCCACGCCATCAGAACCTGCAAACCCAGACTGCTGGCACCCATCAGAGCTGGAATTTTAAAACTGCGCTGAGATCAACCCCCCACCACATCCACAACCCCGAGAGGGCTCCGATTGCGGGGAGTTTGTCCCCAAACCCTGCGGGCTCACCCTCGTCTGTCTCCACGTAGAGCCGCAGCCCCAGGGTGTGTTTCTGACCCACTGACCAGTGGCTGCTGGCAGCTGTGACATCAAACACCAGCCAGCCCTCCGCGCCAGCGCGCAGCTCCTGCACATCCAGCAGCAGCAGGTCGGGTTCCCTGCAGGAGCAGGGGAAGGAGCAGGTGAGTAACAGCACCCAAAGGGCTCCAGCTGAGGGATAATCATGGGAATGACTCCTGGAGCTGTGTCCGGGCACATCCCGGCTCTCAGTGCCCCTGGCTGTGCTGGACACCACGGGGGTGTCCTGGGAAAAGCTCCCTCCCTGCCCAGGTGGAGATGCCAGGGCGTGGCACTGCCCTGGGAAGGGGTGGGAGCAGCTTCGGGTGGGGTGGGCAGGGAAAGGCTGGAGCTGGTCCCCATCCCCTCTCCATCTTCATCCCAATTCCCATCCCTTCTCCATCTTCATCCCAATTCCCATCCCCATCATCTTCATTTCCATCCCCATCACCCCGTTCCCCTCTTCATTCCCATCCCCACTCCCATTTTCAATCCCTGTCCCCATAAACCTTGTTTCCATTCCCATTTTCAATCCCTATCCCCACTAACCTTGTTTCCATCCCCATTCCTATCTTCTTCATTTCCTTCCCTGTTCACATTTTCATTCCCACTCCCATTCCCGTGCCCATCATCTCCATCCCCTGCATTCTCATCCTCTTCATTCCCATCCCCACTCCCACCTCATCTCCTTCATCCACCCCCATTCCCATCCTCTTCATTCCCTTCCCACCTCCTTCACCCTCACACCCTTTCCCACCCCATCTCCTTCATCCTCACCCCCATTCCCACCCCCTTCATCCCCACCCCATCACCTTCATCTTCATCCCCATTCCGACCTCCTTCATTCCTATCCTCATTCCCACCCCATCTCCTTCATCCCCACCCCATCACCTTCATCTTCATCCCCATTCCGACCTCCTTCCTTCCTCCCCCCATTCCCTTCCCACCTCCTTCATTCCCACACCCTTTCCCACCCCATCTCCTTCATCCTTACCCCCATCACCTTCATCTTCATCCCCATTCCGACCTCCTTCATTCCTATCCTCATTCCCACCCCATCTCCTTCATCCTCACCCCCATTCCCACCTCCTTCATCCCCACCCCATCACCTTCATCTTCATCCCCATTCCGACCTCCTTCATTCCTATCCTCATTCCCTTCCCCTCTCCTTCATCCCCATCCCAATTCCCGTTGTCTTCATTCCTTTCCCACCTCCTTCATCCTCACCCCCATTCCCATCTCCTTCATCCCCACCCCATCTCCTTCATCCTCACCCCCATTCCCACCTCCTTCATCCCCACCCCATCACCTTCATCTTCATCCCCATTCCGACCTCCTTCCTTCCTCCCCCCATTCCCTTCCCACCTCCTTCATTCCCACACCCTTTCCCACCCCATCTCCTTCATCCTTACCCCCATCACCTTCATCCTCACCCCATTCCCATCATCTTCATCCCCACCCCATCACCTTCATCCTCACCCCATTCCCACCATCCTCACCCCCATTCCCATCTCCTCCATTCCTATCCCCATTCCCTTCCCCTCTCCTTCATCCCCAGCCCATCCCCATCCTCCTGACGCCATCCCCATCACCCCACACCGTTTTCCCCGCTCCCCCCGCCCCTCCCAGCCTCCTCATCCTCGCTGACCTGCCGGGGTGCTGCCCGGCCACCTCGTAGACGCGGAGCTGGAGGCTGCAGTTGCCGTGCCTGGGCGCAGCCCGCGCTTTGTGGATGCGGAACTCGGCGGCCGTCACGGCCTCTCCCGCCGGCACCTGCGCCAGGTCGAACCTGAACTCCTTCCAGTAGGGCTTGGGGGACAGCAGGTCCCGCTCCTGCTCCACTGAGGAGAAGAACAAGGGGCTCAGAGAGCCACGCCTGGGGCCTCCCCGCTGAGCCCCCACCAAGGGGGTTTTGGGGATAAACTCGCCGGTTCTGAGCCGCTCGCCCTTGGCTGGGAGTTCCCATCTCCGGAGGGTTTGACTTCAGATCATCCTCCCCCGTTTCTGCACTTTGTTTCGCTGTAAACCCACCGGCTTCCCCTCCCAGCCCTCTTCGTTGTTAATTAAAATTTAAAGAATTAACATTAAAAGCACAAATGCTGGTTATGGAAGGAGCACAGAGAATGTGACAGGCCTTAGGGGAAAGGGGAAAAACACATTTAAAATGTTGAGGTTTTGGGGCTCAGCAGGACCACCTGGAGCAGGAATTGGGGTTTTCCAAACTTTTCTTGCAGCAGACAAGCCCAGGGCTCATCAGGGCCATCACTGGATATCACAGGTCCACAATAAAGATTTGTCCACAAGCAAAAACTTGTCCACAAATAAAAATTTTTATCCTGTGTGTTTTTGGGGAGCTGGGGGCATTATCAGGTTGCTGCCCTGTAAAAATTTCCCTCCCTTTTTCCTGAAAACACATTATTTCTCCACCACGCAGGGACAGGAAAAATCTGATTTTATTTTGTTCGTCCATAAAGAATAAACCTTCCTTTCTCTATGGTAATGCAGCCCCCACAGTTCTGCTAATGTGCAATTATTTGCTTCAAATTATTCTTTAAAAATACCCCAATCTTCCTGGTCTGAGTATAATTAAAGTTTATGATTAAATATGATTCAATGTGACTAAAGCTTCTCCTGCTTCAGGCGCAAAAGCAACGTAACCTGGCGCTTACTTTAAAACTAAACCAAATAATTAACTAAACAAAAAAAATAAACATTTAAAATGCATTTTTTAACCGATTCCAGGGGGGAAATATTCCAAATTTAACCCACCATAAGCTTGCCATTCCCATTTATACGGAGGGAGCAGCACATCCCTCCAAACCCAACACCGAGATTTTCCTTACCCGCAAATTCTTTTTCTTCTTTTTTTTTCCTCTTTTTTTTTTTTTTCCCCCTTTTTTTTTTTTTTTCCTGCTGTTGCTTTATTTTTCAAATCCCACATTGCCTCCAGCTCCTGGCCTCACCACAAGCTGTGTTCTAAAAAGAGCCCGGGGCTGGGCGGGCAGGGCGGATGCGGAGAGCGCTTCCTGCCCTGCCAGGGTGGCTGCCAGCTGGGCAGGGGGTGCTCGGGGGCCCTGACCCACCCCTGCCCCTCGGGGGGCACACGGAGCCCCCCAGCCCTCCGCAGTCCCTCGGGCTCTCCCCTCTTTTCCCTTTTTTCCACCATCCCTTCGTGGGGTGGCTTGATTTACTTATTTATTTATTTATTTATTTGTGGATTTTTGGCGCTGCCGAGGCCTCGTGGTGCTGGCAAAAATCCTGAAATTCCCCCCAAAATGCGAGCAGAGGAGTCACCTCGGGGTTTTAGCCCCCAGTGGGGGTCCCATGCTCGGTCCCCTTGGGTGTTTTTGGTCACTTTGGGTGACCCCTTTGCTCCAAAATTTTCGCCTGCAGCTGGACCCTCACCCAGGAATGGGCAGAAGGATTTTTTTTGGCAGAGCCAAGGAAGTCACAGAGATCCCACACCAGATAAAAAAGCCAAAAAGGTGATTTTTATCCCTAGAGAAGAGTGAAAGCCTCTGCTAAAACTTTTTAATGAAAATTTCCTGTTGCTGTGGAGGTGATGGAGGGGTCTGGGGGTGAAGGCAGAGGAGGGGATTTGGTGGGAGGGGAGCCCAGGGACACCTTGGCAGCAGGAGAAATGCAAAAATTAGCTGAGCTGCAATTAGCCGGGCTCCTTGATGAGCCCAGGGAGCTGGATCTGTCTGTGCTCGGGATGAAATTCTGGGAGGAATCCCTGAATTCTCTGCTGCTTCAGGGAGGAAAAAAGGGAACCCCTTTGGAGGGGGAGGACGGAAGGAGAAGCTCCCCCTCCTGTGCCACGACTGGTGGAGCTTGGGGAGGGCTCAACCCCCTCAACCCTCCCGTGTTTGCTGCTAGAATCAAAATGAGTATAAAACAGGAGCCCTGCAGTCCCCCCTGAGCAGCCAGCAGGGCTGCGGGTGCTCAGGTGCTGCTGGGGCTGTGCTGGAGGTGCCCCCCCGGTGCTTTGGGGAGCCCAGGGTGCCTGGGAACCTGCCCCTGCTTGGGCTTGACTCAGCCACACCACCAACCCTCAATTATCTGTGGGCGGATTATCCGGATTGCAGAGGAGAGGCAGGAAAAAAGCCCAACCCAAGCACTCTGCTCTCCTTTCCCCCCTCCTTTGGCATCACCCCCGGCAGCTGCTGCACCTTCCCCCAGAGCTGAGTGCCCCCCTGTGCTCCAATCACCCCCAAAAACAAAATAAAAATAAATATAAACCAATAAAAACAGCCTTGGGGCCCTTCCCTGGCAGGGGATGCCCGGCTCCATCTCAGCTGAGCCTCCTGGTGTCTCCCAGCCCCTGAGCATTCCCAGATCTGTCCCCAGATCCCACCCTTCCTCCTGCTCCCCAGGTTATTCTTAGCTGCACGTTTTTCACTGTGCACTTTCTGGGCTTCTATAAACTGGGCATCAGTAATTACCGGGCCTGGCTGCTCCCAGTGGGTCCCCATGATCATTTCAGACACCAAATTAAAAGGAAATGCCAGGATATTCAACCACATCAAGTGCTCTGGATCCTAAAATAGGCTTAAAGGAGATGCAGGGAAGATGCTGTCCTTCAAGCAGGAAAAAATAAGCTCCGGAGGATTTCTGAGGTGGGGAGGGATTCAGGAGTTATCCCAGCACATCCAGACTCCCAGTTTGCCTCCTCCAACCTCCTGGGATGAGCTCTGGCAGCTGCTGGACCCTGGGCTCAGCTCTGGGCACCCCCAGCCCAGCTGGGCACAGCCTTTCCCCTGCCCCGCACGCATCCAGCTGGGAGCACCGCGTGATCCCAGGATTTATTTGGGAAGCTTTTCCCATTAAAACACTCTCAGGGGGTCCGTGGGGGGAGCTGACACCTTGGCACAGCTCAAATGGCTGCAAAACGGAGCCAGGGGTGGGAAAATCCTGAGCCAGCTGCTGCCAGCAGCTGGATTTCAGTGGGAATTGTGTGGGGGCGAGGGCAGTGGGTGATGAATTCCCGTGTGGAGTGGAGCAGCTCTTCCCAACTCCTACAATTCAATTAAAGAGGCTGCCCTGAGCTCCCACCCCACATTTAGGGTGCCCTGAAGTGCCCGGGGCTGGTTTTGCCAAGGTGTTCTGTGTTCCTCTCCGGTGCTTCCTGGATTTTCCAGGAAGGTGTTTGGGCACAGCCTCACCTGGAACAGCCACGGGGGATCCAGCCAAGGAATCACAGCCTGCTTTGGGCTGGGAGGAACTCAAAGATCATCTAATTCCACCCCCTTGCCATGGGACACCTTGCAATGATCAGGGATGCCAGCAGGGAAAGGGGGATGTGTGTGCTGGGGGGGCTCGGGAATGCTGTGAGCCCTCACCCCCTTCCCCAGTCCCACCCTGCCCGTATCCACCACCCACAGCTGAGGAGAAATCCCAAAGCCCATCCCCACCCCGGGCTCAAAACCCCAACATCGCTCCCGGCTGTGCAGCCAGGGCACAGAGCAGCCCAGGAAAGGCCCAGGAGGAGCAGGAGGGGAGGGATGGGCACATCCACCGCCCCAGAGCTGCTGGGGCTGTCCCTGTCCCCGTCCGGGCAGGGTGGGTGCTCCGGGCAGGTTTGGCACTCCCTCTTCCCGGGACAAGGAGCGCCCTGCTCCAGCCCTGCCCAGGGACGGCTCCAAAGAGGTCCCAGTGCCCAATGGGGCACCGGCTTTGCATGTCCCACCAGGATAATTGCGCGGCTAATTAAGTATGCAAATGAGAGCTGGCCTTCTCCCACAAAAAAAACCTCCTTATTTAATTAACATGAAGGGGCTGGCGAAGCCGCAGGAATCAAAGCCATTCAAATTGAAGGCTGGAGCTTCAATTCTCCTGGCGACGGCAGGAGCGCTGGGAAGGGAGCAGTGCCCCCGTGCCCACAGCCCTGTGCCAGCAGGGGCCCCTCCCAAAGGCTCCCCCGAGCATCCCGCCGTGCTTGCCACCAAACCCGACCCCTTTAAAGCCCATTTTGGCCCTTGGGTGTTGTCCCAAGCGCTGAGGGGGTTTGGTGCTTCAGCTTTTGTCTCCGTGGCTCTCAGCTTGCCCAGGGTGCTGAACCCCACCGGTTCTCTCAGGGCTGGGTGCCTCAGCTGCGGGCACCCCAAGCACCCGGCTCTGTCCCAGGGAGGCTCCTCACACCCACGCGTGGTACAGGGGGAGTACAAATGAGTTGGGAGACGCCTCTACAGCCCCTAAACCTCCTCCCAAGGGGCAGATCCCCCCCTCCTCCAATCTCCAAGGAGGGATTCTCCCCATCCTCTGAGGTTGTGGGGGATTTTGTGCTTGGGGCAACAAACATCCCTTAAAGCACCGAGCAGGGGCAGGGACAAGCTCCATATCCGAACCCCGCTCTGCAAACCCCCCTGGGTTCAGCGGCCAGGACTGAGCCCATCCCGAGCGGCCGCGGCCCCGCTGGGATCAGCTCTGCTGCCTGGAGCTGGAGGGATGCTGGAGCCTGCTACCAGCTGGACGGGATTCCAGCAGTAATTAACAGCCTCGAGGATTTTATTTGGAGCCGTGATTCGGTGTCCCATCGAGGGTCACCCTGCTGCTGGCACCACCTTGTGCCCGCTGAGTCGGGGAGAGCCCCCCTCAGCCTCCCTCAGCTCCCCCGTGCTGCAGGACATTCCCCTTCTCCATTCCCTCTTTCTAAACGGATTTGGGATTCATCCCGGCCCCTTTCACCCCACTCCCGTGTCCCTCCCCGCCGCTCCCCGTTACCGAGCCCAGCTTTGCCAAAGAGTTCCTTATTTGAGCAAGGGCTGAGAAACCCCCCCGAGGGATGCCCGGTACCGCGGGCACGGGCCAGGAGCCGGGCTTGGGGTGGGCTCAGCCCCGTGCCCGTCCCCCCGGTGCCCCTCGGTGCCTCCCCGGCTCTGCGCTGTGTCTGCTTTGCTCCCCTCGGTCCCTCCGTGCGCCCCGGTCCTGCCTAAACCGCCTGGGTCATCCCCGTGCGCTCCGGTCGTCCCGGTGCCGCCGGGATCCTGCCTGCACATCCCGGGACCCCCGGGACCCCCCCGGTGTGCTCCGGTCCTCCCGGTGCCCGGAGCATCCCGGTGCCCCCGGTGCCTCCCGGTCCTGCCGGTGCCCCGCACATCCCGGTGCCCCCCGGTGCCCCACGGTGCCCCGCACACCCCGGTGCGCTCCGGTCCTCCCGGTGCCCCGCACATCCCGCACATCCCGACGCCCCCGGTGTCCCACGGTGCCCCCGGTGCCTCCGGTGCCCCCGGTGCCCCGCAGCCGTTCTCACCCACGTTAACGAGGCTGACCACCGTGTCCGCTCGGCTCACCACGCTGCCGGGCGGGGGGCTCTGCGTGCTGAGCCCGGTGAGCACCGGCCGCGACACCGCCGCTTCCTCGCCCTCGGCCCCGGGCACCGGCACGGCCCCGGCTCCGGCACCGGCACCGGCCCGCCCCGGCGGGGCCAGGGGAAGGGACGGTCCCTGCAGCGGCACCGCCCCGGCCCTCCCCGCCCGGTGGCTCCGGGGTACGGGGAGCATCGCTGGGCAGGAGAAGTGGCCGGGACTCAAAGCTGTGGATGCATAAATTCATGGGAACCCATGCCTGGGGATGGTTATCCTCGTGAGTACACAAAATTCATGGGAACCCATCCCGGGGATGGTTATCCTCGTGAGTACACAAAATTCATGGGAACCCATCCCTGGGGATGGTTATCCTCCTGGGCACCTAAATCTGTGGAGATATAAAAAATCCATGGGAACCCATGCCTGGGGATGGTTATCCTCGTGAGTACACAAAATTCATGGGAACCCATCCCGGGGATGGTTATCCTCGTGAGTACACAAAATTCATGGGAACCCATCCCTGGGGATGGTTATCCTCCTGGGCACCTAAATCTGTGGCCCGCAAATTCTTTTTCTTCTTTTTTTTTCCTCTTTTTTTTTCCTCGTGAGTACACAAAATTCATGGGAACCCATCCCTGGGGATGGTTATCCTCCTGGGCACCCAAAGCCATGGAGATATAAAAAATCCATGGGAACCCATCCCAGGGATGGTTATCCTCGTGAGTACACAAAATTCATGGGAACCCATCCCTGGGGATGGTTATCCTCCTGGGCACCCAAAGCTGTGGGTTCCTGGCCTCACTCACACCCAAAACCATGGCACCCACCCCAAGGGATGCTCCTGCTCCTGTGGGTGCACAAATGCACGGAGATCCCTTCCTAGGGATGCTCATGCCAGGGGCACCCACATCCATGAACATCCACACCTGGGGACACTGACCCTTGTGGGAAATGAAATCCAGGGGCAATCACCCTCACTGGCACCCAAATCCATGAATACTCAAACCTGGGACACTGACCCACCTGGGCATCCACTCCCAAGGCCACCCAAACTCTTGGACACCCGTTGCATCCCTTCTCCTCACAGGTATCCACTTCCCCGTGGGCATCCACTCCCAAGGCCACCCAAACTCTTGGACACCCCTTTGCATCCCTTCTCCTCCTCACTTCCCCACTCCACTGAGCATCTCACCAACCTCACCCTGGACCACTTAGTTTTGGGGCTGGGTGGTTCCCTGCTCCATCCCACAAGAAAACCTGGGTGCAAACACCCCTGACTTCCACAGGCACTGCCCTCCCACACGGGATAACCAGCTCCAGCTCACCCTCACAAAGCTAACACTGGGGAATAAAGCAGGAGGCAAGATCGTTTATTACCGCAAGCAATTTTAATACAAAAATGTGTCTGGTTCTTTTAAACAATTCATTGGTAGAGCTTCAGTTTTGCCTCAATTTGAAACCAATTGAGAGAATCACACAGCAACACGGTCAGAGCCGGAGAGGAACAATATTTAATAAATACAGGAGCTGTGCAGAGCCCTCGCCCCCAGCCCGTCTCCTGGTCACTTGGTCAGTTGGATTTTATTACAAAGAAAAAGGAGCGTACAAAAGCGAGACAGGACTTGCAGCGAGTGTGCTGGTGAGACTCGTTTCAAGGACAAGCAACTGTGCGTGTAAGTCCAGATTTCTCCTAGGAGCAGAGTTCACATCAATCTCAGCCTGGCTGGAAGTGGAATGACCAGTTAAATAATAAATAGGAAAAAAGAGATGCAGATAAAACAGTGATTGTGTAAGGAACGCCTCGGGGCGGGCTGGTTAAGCCATCAATCCAGAAGAATCCTTGATTTTGGAGGGCCCACCACCTCTAAGGGATGCACCCCAGTGACGCAGACCTGCAATCCTCTGGTGTGAAGCCCCTCCTCAAACCCCTCCCCAAACCCTTCACCCTCGGTTTGTTCTTTAAAAACAAAGTTGTCAGGACAGTATTTTCAAGACAGCAAAATTGTCACGGCCTTTGCTGTAGTGTGTGCAAATTTTATTAAAGTCAAACTCCGCTTTCTTCAGATAAAACCACATAGCTTTAAAAAAAATGGAAACATAAGCCCCAAGTCCCCTCACCTCATGTTTCTCTGGTTGAGGTATCTGTGATTTACAAAAAGAGAGTTCCTTGAACACTGCAGGATTCAGGTCTTTGCTTTTAAATATAATTTACCTTGCTGAGACAGCAAGTTAAGTTTATAAAGATGCATTTAGGAAACAATCCTAAAAGATAAAGCAGGTTCACACCCTGCACCGCGCAGAAATCCTATTTATATTTTAGTTTTTCTTTACACTTTCACATCTTGACCTTTTTTTTTTTGCTTCCTTTTTTTTTTTAAATCTTTTTCTTGATTTTTTTTTCTTTCTCTCCCACATTTCAGTTTTCCAGGCCCCTCTCTAAACAGGGGTCACCGAGAGACAATTTTTTTATCTACATAAATATTCACATGAAAATAGTAACTTACAAAAAAAGAAAAAGAAAAATAAAACAAAAAAAAACAAAACAAAAAAAACCCCAAATAAGGCAGCTTCATAACACAACTTTTCTTTTACACTTTTAACAATATAGTTTCTCCCATTTAGAATAAATATACATCCAATGTACGGAGCAGGGTTAAAAACTGGACACAGGTCGGGTGCTTTGCTTTTTTTTTTTTGTTCTGTTAGTTTTTCCTTCCTCTCTCCCAGCTGGTACAGCATTATCTCTTAGGGCCTGGCGTTTTTGGGGTGGCAGCGGGCGCTTTCTTGGACATGGTGGGGATTTTGGAGGGCTTGGCGGCGCGGCGCGCGCCGGCGGCGCTGCTCTCCGAGGTGTCCGAGCAGGCCGACTGCGTCTCCAGCAGCTCCAAGTCCGAGGCGTCGCTGCCGCGCCGGCTGCTGGCCCTGCTCCCCGTGCGGCTCCCGGCGCGGCTCGTGGGGCGGCTGGCTGCCTTCTTGGGGTCTGCAGGGAGGCCCGCAAAGCGTCAGAGGGGAGGGCTGCTCTCCCCGCTGCCCTGAGGTTTGTTCCCCCAATGTCCTTTTTCCTCCCGATGCCCTGAGGTTTGTTCCCCCAATGTTCTTTTTCCTCCCGATGCCCTGAGGTTTGTTCCTCTGATCCCCCTTGTTCCTCCCGATGCCCTAAGGTTTGTTCCTCCCGATGTCCTTTTTTCTCCTGATGCCCTGAGGTTTGTTCCCCTGATCCCCCTTGCTCCAATGCCCTAAGGTTTGTTCCTCCCGATGTCCTTTTTTCTCCTGATGCCCTGAGGTTTGTTCCCCTGATCCCCCTTGCTCCAATGCCCTAAGGTTTGTTCCTCCTGATGCCCTAAAGTTTGCTCCTCTTGATGCCCTGATGTTTGTTCCCCCGATGTCCCTTTTCCTCCCGATGCCCTAAGGTTTGTTCCTCCCAATGCTCTAAGGTTTGTTCCTCCCGATGCCCTAAGGTTTGTTCCTCCCAATGTCCTTTTTCCTCCTGATGACCTAAGGTTTGTTCCTCCTGATCCCCCTTGCTCCTCCTGATGTCCTGAGGTTTGTTCCTCCTGATTCCCCTTGTTCCTCCCAATGCCCTTTGCTCCTCCTGATGCCCTAAGGTTTATTCCCCCATCCCCCTTGCTCCTCCTGATGTCCTGAGGTTTGTTCCTCCTGATTCCCCTTGTTCCTCCCAATGCCCTAAAGTTTGTTCCTCCCAATGCCCTTTGCTCCTCCTGATGTCCTGAGGTTTGTTCCTCCTGATCCCCCTTGTTCCTCCCAATGCCCTGAAGTTTGTTTCTCCCAATGTTCTTTTTCCTCCCGATGCCCTAAAGTTTGTTCCTCCCAATGCCCTTTGCTCCTCCTGATGCCCTAAGGTTTGCTCCTCCTGATGCCCTAAATTTTGCTCTTCCTGATGCCCTTTGTTCCTCCTGATGCCCTAAGGTTTGTTACCCCTGATGCCCTTTGTTCCTCCCGATGCCCTAAGTTTTGCTCTTCCTGATGCCCTAAGGTTTATTTCTCCTGATGCCCTTTGCTTCTCTAAGTTTTGTCCCCCTTGATGCCCTTTGTCCCTCCTGATGCCCTAAGGTTTGTTCCCCCAATGCCTTCAGTTTTGCTCCTCCTGTTCCTCCTGATGCCCTTTGTTCCTCTGATGCCCCACGTTTTAGCTTTTATTTTTTCCAGATTGTGTCCTGTGCTGGTGTGTAACTCTGAACTCCACATAAAGTGTGAACAGTCAGTTCAGCCACACAACCTAAGGTTTGTTCCTCCCGATGCCCTAAGGTTTGTTACCCCTGATGCCCTTTGTTCCTCCCGATGCCCTAAGTTTTGCTCTTCCTGATGCCCTAAGGTTTCTTCCTCCTGATGCCCTAAGGTTTATTTCTCCTGATGCCCTTTGCTTCTCTAAGTTTTGTCCCCCTTGATGCCCTTTGTCCCTCCTGATGCCCTAAGGTTTGTTCCCCCAATGCCTTCAGTTTTGCTCCTCCTGTTCCTCCTGATGCCCTTTGTTCCTCTGATGCCCCACGTTTTAGCTTTTATTTTTTCCAGATTGTGTCCTGTGCTGGTGTGTAACTCTGAACTCCACATAAAGTGTGAACAGTCAGTTCAGCCACACAAAACAATCCATTGCCAGCCCCAGAACCAAGGACACCACTGCAGCTTCAGCCCCAAAAAGTGCAAACAGGGAACTGAGGAGACCAAACTGGGAGGATGGGACTGCACCACCTGAGCTGGAATTGGACAATTAGCCCCAATATGGAAATGGACCAAAACTCATAAAAGTGTGAAAACTCATGACTCAGGGTCCATCTTGGGTGGAACCATGGCTGGGCTCTTGTGCTGCCCAAGGTGTATCCATTAAAGGCATTTTAAGAAATCCCTACTTTATTCCTTTAACTCTGTCCAGCCTGTTCCAGGGAGCCTCTCCAGGCATCATTCCCCCATCCCCAACCCCTCAGCACCCCTGAGATGGGACCTTCAACATCAGCCTTGATTCCTCCCCAAATTTCAGCAATTCCTCGGCGTGCAGAGCTGTGCCAGCTCTCCCCCCTTGCTGCCCATCCCTCAAATATTCTGTATTTGAATAACGGGGGCAGTTTTTCCACCTCTTCCCTCCACTCACCTGCCCGAGTGGTTTTGGCACCTGTTGAGACTGGTGAGGAGCTGTTACTGGTGTCCCCAGCCAGGGAGGTCCTGCTGGAGTGGAAGGTGGG